CTATATTACGTGATTTTAATCCCATCAAACTATAGCTGCTGCTAATGGTACTTTAAGCCCTCGAAGTTTTTCATTATCTTTATCAGCGCCATCTGTAATTTGGAAAGTACCCTACCCTGTCCATCATATATTCGTCGTTGGCTAGTTACCTCGCTATGTTCATTTTGCAAACCCTTTCCGCAGTAGCAAGTAGACTGAAGGTGAGTCCTCCTGCTCCAGAAATGTTGACGCATACACTCATAGACTTAGTTATCATTATACAAACGAACCTCATCATCGTTCCAGGCATCCGACCATATCCGAGCTAGTTCCACGGCTGACAAAATAAAAACTCGAATAACCCGCTTATCATCCCGGAGCTGGCGCACCCAAAGGCCTTCGAATCGCAAGGCAGCTGCGGAATTGGTGTATGAAGCCACCTCACCTGGCGCTTCACATTGCCCCTCAAACCCGCTTACTTCATCGGACATTTTCAGATATGCAAATGATTCATCCTCTGAATTTTTGACTCAAGTATACGAAGTCTCTAACATTGCGGAAGAGGTTTCCATCACAGACGACCCCTCTTCTCCCGTTGAGGTATCAACCAGCCTTGTAATCCAACCCCGCTACAACAATCCAGCTACCCAAGATGACGACATAGAACGAGGAGGCATGGTACTCTTCTGTGCAGCTAACACAGCTAGCCCAGTTGACTCCCTTCTTGTGCTGACGCAGCAAGAGCATGCGAGTGAGATCGCAGCATTAATAGGCGAGAATGCAAAACTAAGAGCTGTTGTCGACGAGAGAGACAAGTGCATGGAGCAGCTGGAAAGTGCTCGCGAAGATATAGCTAACTTGGAACTTTCCGGCAATGCCTGGCGTGAGAGGTTCTTTACTAAACTTGAGGAGGCTAATCAACTGCGACTGGAGAAGTATAATAACTTTGAAATTGCTGTCAAAAATCACCGAAACGCTCAGCTCGAAGAGATGCGGCAGGCAATGGGAACTTATGAATCCCAACTTACGAAAGTGAGAGAAGAGCTCAAGTCCCGTTGCCAGGAGATTGGCCTTCTGCGTGAGGAGAACAAAGGCATGGAGGAGAGCTCCTTGAAACAGTTCCAGGAGTATCACGATCTGGCGCAAGATAAAGAGGAATTACAAAAACGATACAAGCACCTCAAGGTGCAGGTTAAGGATAATAGAATCGACAGGCTCAGGTTGATGGAGAAGATAGAACAGCTGGAGGCTACTGAATCGGAATTAGCTGCTAGATTGACTGCGGCTGAGATTTCCACACGCGAACATGCCGAGCGGGAAGAGAAACTTGAACGCCGCCTCTTCGCCAACAAGAACTTGCATGCTGAATATAATGAGTGTGTCGATGAACTTCTTAACTTACGGGAAGAACTCCGACTAAAAGACAAATTTATCAAGCGCCAGAAGATTTGCGGACAAATCATCGTCACGGCGCTCATCACTTTAGCCAGCCATAATATAAAATCGCTTGAACTACAACTTCCAGAGCTCGTGATGGAAACACTCGATTGAAGAAAGGAGCTTGCGCGTCCGGCTCTTAGAGGGAAGAGGAGGGTATTGAGTGCTATGCATGAAGATTTCCCTTTCATTCTTTGCTGTCATCCTTGAGTCTCTCTCCCACGCCCCATATTTGAAAAGGTATATTATGGTATTTGCCCCGTTGCCCGGCCGAAGATATGGATTATTCGAGTTATTTTCATCTCTTCTGATGCCGGTTAGTATTTCTCAAGAAAGAGCAGAGCGGCTTTTCCCTCTTGGGAACTTAGTGACCGTTGTTCATTTCTTTGAACTTTTAACTTTTTCACAAACTTCGCCGCTCAATGGCCGCTTGATGTTATGTTTTTATCCAGCTCGCGCGCCTCGTTTTTGTGGGTATCCATTTACTAAACGCAATTGAGACAGAGCTGGCAATTTCGGAGTCATTCCTTCGTAATTTGTGATCCATGCTTGTGGGCCTTTTTTTTTTTTTTTTTTTTTTGGCGCCCTTCTTGAGAGATGCAAGTTACAACATCGTTCTGTTTGCCTTATCTGTGCCGGTATGACTTTCTATATAAGTTGGATATTAGTATTAGTATACACGGACGGCAATACATCATATTGTCTTGCGTTTTTGAGGGCTTACTTATTCAATGTTTATTTGGCTTATTCGTTTTTGTACCAACGAGTAGAAAGTTTGTTGCTCGGGATTCAAACAATATTTATATATATACATCATAAATGGAATATAATTTCTAGTAATCCCAAAGCCAGCTATAAGCTTAAACATATGTCATTCTCCAGTTTGGCCGATTTCCCGTAGTAATGCATGTATTCGTTTAAAAAAAAAAAAAAAAAAGGAGTGGTGGGGGGGGGGGGTTAACTATTTACAATTTACAATTTACATTACGATAACAACAATCCATCCCACTCTCAACTCTCAACCAGTCAGGGGCTCCCCCATTTCCCCATTCCTCGAAACTCCTCCCTCCTATTTCCGCTCCTTCTCCCCGCACCACCCCCCTCTCATCTCCCCCGATGCGCCATGTCACTTTGCCAGCCCGACCCGATTCTCGCAGCCATTGTCGTTTGTCTCCAAGCTACTCTCACGAAGCCACTTGAAGAGCAGCGCCGCGCATAGCACCGCATACCACACCATCCAACACCCGGACCAGATCATCCCCGCCACCACAATCCCCACAAACAACACTGGGCAAAGCATGACCAGCGCACCAGCGATGACCAGCATACTCAGCGCCGTGGCACCCAGCAGTGCCAGGAAAGCGAAGAAGAGCACCGTCCGACAGCGCGAAGACGAGGAAGATGAGTACCGGCAGGCTTGTGCAGAGGAGCAGGCATGTGACGAGGGTTGTGAGGTGGGGGTGGATGGAGAAGAAGTATGCGAAGTTTTCGATGAGGGCTTTGAGGTACGCTGAGAGGAGATCCGCGTGATGTCTGCGCAAGAGGGCATGGATCATGGATATCAGGGTGTCTATGGTGGTGAGGAGGGCATTGAATCGCGATCTGAAACCGGTGGTGCTGAAGGTGGGCTGCTTGGGTTTGGAGAAGGCATTTTTCAGGGGGAATGTGATTTTGGAGGTGGTTATGTTGGTGGCCTCGATGCCGTTGGTAGCTTGGACAGCGGCATCGTCTTTGGTGGGAGACTCTGGGATAGTTTCCATGGCTGGTTGGGGGGACATCTTTTAGCTGTTGGTAGCTATCGTGTCCAGGACAGAAGTAGTTGTTCTTCGCGCAACCAACCGAGGGGATCGCGGGATTGTTTTTGTTGGCACGGAATATTCCTTTGTGAGGTTTTTGGGGCTAGATACGATACTTGTGGAGATCTACTATGCGACGCTAACGGAGGCCAGAAATAGCACAGGATGGGACATGGAAGGCCATTCCGGAGCTGCTCCCATCAACGGCTGGAGACTGACAGCGCGAGAGGAAGCTGTCACGGTGTCGTAATTGGGCCCGCGAATAAGGTTAGAGTACGCCACGGTTGGCCGGAGCTAATTTTAGCGCGATCGACGTTGCGAAAAGAAGCCCCTGACACTAAAATAAAAACAGAACGCGACCAGAAACACAAATATCAATCAATCACCCATCTCCCAACGGCGACACCCTGCCATTTATGCGTAAACAATCGACTAGCAAGCGAGTCTTCAATCGAAACGATTTCCCGATCAGGCTCCTCCTCCCACCGTTCGCCGGCGCTCAGGATCTCTACATCGGCTTCATTGGCCCAAGAATGTGAATAGCGACCGGCCAT